AAAATTTCTGGAATTATGTAGGCAAGTTGATTGAACATCGATAGAATTGAGGAACGCACTTATCGAGTGGTACTTTATAAGTTTTAGAAGACATAATTGTCATTGCAGCTGAAAGTTGTGGGAGAAGAATTTTTATACAGGCTACGAAGCAAAAAATTCAGTTAATGAAAATTAAAATGAGCATAGATAGAAAACGATGGCAGCCCAGTTCCATTCAGAAGTATACAATGGTTCTTGGCACTACAGTAATCGAAATATTTATATAAAGCTAGACTCGAAGACTGACAGTCCTAGCAGATTTGACGATTTCGAGAACGTAGCAGAGCAGGCTTATTCAAGCTAAGGAGGTCTTTATGATTAATTACTTAGGTTTATCAATAATTTAAAGCTATTGAAAGGTACTTGAAAATTTTAAAATACAAAATTGGTAATTGTAAAAAAAAAATATTTGAAATACGAAGAAATTTGTAACAGAAGATAAAAATTAGCGTAGACAGAAGCAGTGAACGTGACGGTAAACAGCGCCCTCTATCAACTCAATGATAGAAGTCCAGTACCATTAGGAGGATGCAGTTGTTCTCGTCACGAAATACTCAAGATATTCAAAGCTTGCCTCATAAGTTGACCGCCCCAATATTAATAATGATTTTTTAAATGGACCAACACCCTTTATTTGATTCAAGTCGTCGAGTTCTCATTGATGAAAAACTAAGTTTCATCATTGATTTTAATCTTCACTCACGTAGGTAACGAATTGCACGACCACGACCTCCGAAATGGATATCACAGACTCTCAAATGTATGCGACCGTCTTGCACATATCGAAGATTCTTTACTTAGATACTGATCGTTGTCAGCGAACATTTTTTTATAGGGATAATTGTGATTTCTATAATTAAAGTTTAGGTTAATGCTATTGTAAATAGTCCCATTTTAGAGAACCCATCCCCATTGGTGCGCCACAAGGTTGAGTGTTATCCCGTACACTGTTACTTTTGAACATCAATGAATGCTAAAACAAGACATAATTCAGCGTTTACGAACGATAGTACAAGGGACATTTCAATTGTGGTGCAATAATTTCGAAAAAAAAACAGCTATTAGTTACAGCGCTTTAAAAGTGCAAATCAGGCTACACAAGCAATACTTTTCACAGCAGGCCAGGTTCTTCGGCCAGGAGTTATTTAAAAGCAGTTCCTTCAAATTTACCAGCTTATTATGCATCATTGACGATCGCTTGATTCTTTTGTGTTGTTTAACGATGTTGAATCACATTGCATCTCATCGAAGACTGACAATCCTAGCAGATTTGATGATTTCGAGAACCTAACAACCCAGGCTCATTCAAGCTAAGGAGGTCTTGATGATTGGGTTCATCAATAATATAAATCTATTGAAAGCGACTTTGAAAAATGTAGAATACAAAATTGGCAATTCTTAAAAGAACTATTCGAAATGGTACACAAAGAAATTTGTAACAGAAGATAAAAATTAGCATAGACAGATATAGTGACCGTGGCGGTAGCCAGTGCCCTCTGTTAAATCATAGATTCTAAAATGTATGCGACCGTCTTGCATGTATCGAAGATTCTTCATTTAGATACTGATTGTCGTCCGTGGACTGTTATTTTTGTGTAGGGATAATTGCAACATTTACAGTTTAGATAAGTGAATAGTCCCGTCTTAGAAAACTCATCAACACTGGTGCGCCACAAGGTTGAGTATTATCCCCTACACTGTTACTTTTTAACATCAATGATGGCTAAAGCAAGACATAATTCACCGAATTGCGGGCGTTTTAACTATTTATGATATAAACTTGTTTCGTAAATTAGTATTGTATCACAAAGAAGACCTGTTTCATTTAGAAGTATACAATGGTTCTTGACACCGCAGTTATAGAAATATTTAAAGCTAGACTCGCAGACTAACAGTCCTAGCAAATTTGATGATTACGAGACCGTAAGAATGCAAAAAGCTCTCTATAATTAATGACTCAGTTTCATCATTAATGTCAATCTCTAGAACAGGACTTGGAAGATATAGAAGACAAAATTTCCATTCATAAGAAGAACTATTCGAAATGGTCTACAGACAAAATTGTAACAGATATGGTTGTTTGTAAGCCACTAAGCAAATACTGTACGTCATGACGATAATAATTAGCATAGACAGATATCAGGACAGTAAGGGTAGGTTAGGTTAGGTTATATGCCTCCCTACCCCTACTCAATGATGACAAGCCGGTTCCAATTTAAGAGTATGCAGTTGTTCTCGCAATAAATACTTTTAATTCCAGCCTCACGACAGTCATAACATACTTAATAATTTCAAAAATGTATAAACAACGCCGAATCATTTAATATAAGTTGAAGAGCTCTCGATAATTAAAGACTCAGTTTCATCATTGATTTTAATCTTCACTTACATAGGGAACGAATTTCACGAAAGTTTTAAAAGTGACCTAAATTCCGAAATGGATATTACACATTCTGAAATCTGTATACGACCGTCTTGGATACTTACATTGTACATTCTTCACTTAGAAACTAATCGTCGTCAGTGGACATTTCTTTTTTTGTAGGGATAATTGCGACAGCTATAATTATAGCTTAGATAAGTGCTGTTGTAAATAATCTTGTCTTACAGAATCCATCAATACTCGTGCGCCACAAGGTTGAGTGTTAGCCCCTGTTACGTTACTACATCAATGATTGCTAAAGCAAGACATAATTCACTGTTTTACGGGCGTAGTACGATGGACGTGTCTTTTTCAACTAATTGTGGTACAAATTTGTTTCTGGAGTCTCACAAAGAAGACCTATATTAAGGCAAAGTCTCGGACTAAGATGCCTAAGTATAGTCTAATTAAACCCGGAAAAGAGCCAAGTTTTTTCGAAAGACTTCATAAGCCCTATCTTATCGCCAAAAATGAATTTCGCCATAATATACCAACGTTCTACAGCGCGGTCACTTAGAAGAGAAAACCAAGTTGGATCTAAAGAAGCATGGTGTTTTCAGCTAAAATAGACTATGTTTCATATTTTTCTATCGCCTGCACTTCTTCAAATTGCAAATCAGGGGCTACATATGGAATACTGTCAACATTTTCGGACAGGAGCTATTTAATTGACACAGCGCAAATCGGCTTGAATCTTCAACAATCACGTGCTTTCCGACCTTTAGGGCTTGATTTTTTTGCATTGTGTAGCGATGTTGGATCACTCTGCATTTTTGTACGCATCTAATGGGGAATATTCAGAGCAGTTTAGACTATTGCAAAAACGAGAGCAGTTGCGTTTCTTATCTTAACATCTCGAGATCCATAACAGCGCGCTGTTCGAATTCGGTACCACGTAACAATCACTTTGTGAAATCAACTACCGTCATCTGTCTTTCCGCACAATTATAAAGTGGGCAAAAAGTGTTTATGCATATTTAAGAAATATAAGCAATCCATATCCGGGACACATAGTGACGCAAATTTTCCTAGAACCTTGTTTGCTTGCTATGCCCCCGTGCAGGTCATCTTGGCCGGAAACAGAAGTTTGATCTAATATCTCGAGTTGTAATTTATTAAGAACTAAAGCGTTTACGATTGAAACAGTTCAGAAGTAGCCCAGATTGTAACAATAAACCTGTATTGAGAACGTTGCGTTTTATTGTGGTTTTACGTAACGGCGGAAGATGTTTTTCTCTTCACGACTTTTTAACGGCGTTTCTGAGTTTCTTTCAATCGGGTCACTTTTGTTTTAGAAATAGTTGGGTATCGTTTACTAACTGAGGAAAAACTATAATTCTTATGCTTGTTTTCTTACAAAGAAGTTTTCCATTAAATTTTTCTCTTTTTTAAATCTTTACAGTTTGTTATCATGTAATTTGGAATAACGCACTTGTGCAAGTGTTTTAGCGTCATGTACTTTCCTTAAAAAGCGAGTTAAATATTAATTTAAACCTATTAAAATAATTAAACAATACGAGTATAAGTTTTTGAAATGTCACTTTCAAATCGCTTACAGGGATGGAGCTTAACGACATAGACATTTGATCCACAGTAATAGCATCGTAAACACGAATTTGCACTTATCTACCTACCCTCTATACGAAACTATAAAAAAAAATCCATGCAACATGAATCAAAAGTAAACATTGAATTATATTAATTTATTCATTTATAAAGTAAACAATCAACAAACATTTAAGACGCATCTAACTAAATATATTAATTGTATATTAATATATAAAAAAAATTACGTCACAATCAGGGCTGGAACTGGCATCCACTACGTTCCGTGCTGTTGTGCAGTAACAAGTGAAAAATATTAAGGTTTTCAATTTCAATAACTAGGTATGTTTTTTTGTGATAGAGGAAGACAGGCTAGTTTCAAGTCACGGTTTCACTTGATGAAAGGTCAAATACCCCAGCCATTTAAAATTTAAACTAAATGGGCTGTGGACCCATTTTGGCTTTGGATATTTGGAAATGAAACCGAAACGCGAATAAACTTTACACCTTTTACATCTGTGGTCGGTGATTCTTAACCCGCCGGAATATCGATATTCCTACTACACATTTTATATCCAGATTTCCAGGCGAACTCCAAAATATTTCAGAAAAAATATAATTGATCATGACCGGTCAAATGAACACAGAAACAAAACCTAATTTACCTAATCTAATCTCATGTTTTACATTATACCTTTTAAAATAAAACATGGGGAAACACCCGTGACCACGACTGCTGTAAAGCATCCGAAACGTCGGGCCGTAGTTAATTTACAAGTAAGTTTAACTAATATCTATATATTATACACGTTTTAAACCGTTAAAGTGAGTGCTATTCGCGTAAATTACAGATAGTAGTTTGTTTACTTACCTATTCGGAACGATATAATACGTTTATTAACCCCTACTATTTACACACCGATAATATTACCCACAAAGCCTCCATCATCCAGCCAGGTCAAAGGTCAACGTTCAGAAAAAAAATAGAACTTACTTCAGAAGCCCATTGCACGTGTCTCGTCTCCACTTTCCTTTCCATCATAAGAGCATCCACAAATTATGACACCATCTCACTCTAACACAACTCGGAACACAAGATGGACGTCACTTTTCAAAAAAAGAATTCGCTTCGTTTCGTTTACGCGGCAAGATTTCTATCGTTCGAAAATGTCGGGCGAAAAAAACCGTCGATGTCTGCTTCGCGGCTGCGCCGTCCACAGTCTGAGTCACAGATAATAATTTTTACTATGACGCGGCGGTGAATGCATTTTTTTTTAATAATTCAGAAACTGCGCCGAGTAAATCAGCTGATAGAACAGCAAGCAATGATACTACGCTCTATCGGTTTAGTGTAACGATAGTGACAGGTATATCGGCTATCTCGCTCTATCTGGGGGACTCGCGTGATAATTTACATCTGATCGACGGCAACTGATAATAATTTCCTTTTTCGCATCCTATTGTTACGCGGAGAAAGCGATTACGCTTCAATTAAAATATATCCAATATCCCCGCTCCAATTTCGGTACAATTACGTCGTTGAGGTAAATTGGGTTGTTCCGAAACGGGTCACTGTGAATCACTCAATTAGTCACATCACTAACACCACAGAGTGCGAAAAATTTGGCATCACTAAGCACATGACATTAATTTGATTGTCGTTTTTTTTTCTAATTTAAACTACAAAAGAGTTTGAGGTTTTAATGTATTTTCTTGTTGCGAGACGACAGTCGACTAGTGGTAAGAAGTAAGAAGCGAGGGAGTGGTGGTAGCTTGGTGGGATCGATACCACGGCGCGACGCACTGACCGCGGCCGCCCCACTGGGAAGCCTATACTTGGATTATAGGATAGTTATCATTCAAGGGTGGGACAGTGTAATTATGATAAAAATCAATAACGCGCAACGCATAGACCTGTGTAGCGAAGGTTTTATGATAGATAGCGTTTATCTATCGTTTGTTTTGACATATATATTTTAAGATGGGCTCGTTTATTTATTTAAAAAGAGGCTTACCAACTAAAAACATAATAAAAGCTTAATCTAAAACTAAAACTTAGTATAATTTATGTGACGAATATGTATTTAAATTAAAGGCAAGCACAACGTTGCTGTGAGATATAAAATACATAAAAGAAAATTTTAATGCGCAATTTAACAACAACATTAACAGTTTTTTTTAATTTGTGTTTTAAATTTATAAGATTTAGAGAAAACATCCAATGTATTATCTATTCTAAAAACACTATTACATAAATGTATAATCTGTTTTAACGGAGCATTTGGACCGTAATTACTATTGCTTTGCTTTACATAGGGGAAAGAGAACTAAGACGACAGTTAAATGCGGGAACATGTAGGCCTATCTCGTTGGTGTAAAGGTAGCAGTGTATGGCTAATAATCAAGAGGTCGTGGGTACGATACCTGGTCTGTAGTTTACAAGAGTAGTACATATTTTTAAATAAAATATTTTGGGCAACCTTTGGGAAACGTTGGCCATAGTTAAAATAATTTTGGAATAAGTTTTACTCAAACATTTCGCGTGCGTTTTAAACCGTTTAAGTGTTTAATTTAAATGTTTCAAACCGATTTGTGATTTGTCTGAAATCTGGATATTAAATTGGTAGTGGGAATATCGAAATTGTGTCCGGGTCATAAACCACCGTCCACAGTTGTGAAAGAAGAAAACAGAACATCAGTTGTCTAGTAATCATAGACATATGAAATAGTCTATAATGACCTTATTGTGACTGATGACAGCAAGGTTAGTAGTGAAACTCGCCTTATGAAATCTTTGTTTTAAACTGAACAGTTTAAATAAAAAAAGTGAATTAAAACCGGAACGAAATACAATTAAATTATGTACTTTGATTTTTTTAAAGTTGTATTTGCTTGAAAATCTAATTGGAAACACGAACGATTTTTCGGAGGATCGTTATCTGCATATTATAATATTGTTAGATTAAAGAAAGAACTTGTATCTACTGCCCAAGAATAGTTTGAATGTTGAGCGAACAATGACATATTACAGTGTCATTTAAGTATACTTTTTCTGTTACATGAAAAAGCTTCTATATTACTAATTTAATAAATATACATTATGTATCTTTTTTCAGATCTAAAAATATGTTTAGTACCAAATTAGATATTAAAAAAAATCTTTTTCACCACTACCATTTCGTAAACACTACATTTCTTAAAATTGGAAAAACGTAAGTATACATATGTAAATATAATTAAAGGTTTCAATTTTTTTGTATTTTGTAATTTTTATGAATAACCAATATTCATTAAACAAGATACTTATACATAGAAAAGAGCAGAGAGAGAATAGAAATATACGACTTGACATTTTGAAAACTTTACAGCAGCCGAGGTCTCCCCTTGACCATGATCGCGTTTTCATGATTTAATAAAACTTAATATAAAAAACATGGTATTCAGAAAAACAAATGTACAATTATAATACCTCAATACAGTTTGTGATAACGATGAGCACTCATGTATGTTGAGACAATAGTCCCAAGTTAGCTGAGTTATCTGTGATCTTTACAGAATTTTATTTTATCTATGTAAGGGTTTTTTATGGTCTCCCCTTGATAAATGATAAAACAAATAAATTTAAATTACTTCGCGTTTTCAACCGTCAAGTGTTTTTATTGTTTATAGGTAAGACTAAACTACAGGTAATACTTATGTATCGTTTGTTAAATTGTTTGGACAATAAAACGGTTTGATATTTTTTTTAAATAAAACATTTGCTGTAGCTGTTGACGGGCTTGTTATATGGTAGCAATGTATGGCTAAATAACAGGTCGTGGGTACGATTCCTACCGGGTCCAACACCAACAGATTTAAGAGCCGTCAAGTTTCGGTTAATATCCGAAGATCCGAATATCCAAAGCCCAAACAGGTCGTGTATCTTGTTTAATGGCTGCGGGATTTCGCCTACCATCAACCTTTTTTTGTCTACCCTCCTCTACCATAAAATGTGATTAATTTGAACAAACTGTAATGAATAGATCGTGACCTCAATCCTAGTAATTTTCCCTAAGGGCACAGACCTTCGGGTCGGAAAGTTCAAGGGACAAGGTCGTTACCCTTAGCCAATCAGAGCGCAGAATCACGACGCAACCGGAAAACCGACCAATCACAAAGGAGCAGGGATCCTTTTTATTGGCCCGTGGTAAAGGCTTGAATGCCTTTATTGAATTTTGCTTGAATGTGTTCATGTATAATATATTGAGTAATAATCATTTTCTATACCTATATATTAAAGTATAAAAGTTTCCCTTTGTATCCCTCAATAAAGAGTTGTGAAGGTAATGTAGTAGATGGTAGTATAAAAGTATTCACATGCAGGGGGGAAATTCTTTAAAGAGAAGGGGGGGGGGGGGGAAATTTTTTGTATGTAAGGTTTTTCAAGATTTTAGATTTTAAAAACCTTAGATATTTGTGAAAATCCTTGCCACTGTAATTATTTGATTGAAGAAGTATTCAAATCATTGTTAAGGTCAAAGCTGTTACTAGTATTTATTATTAGGTACGCTGTTGCCCACGACGTCATCCGCGTCCCCTCGTTCTTGCGCGTTTATCTTAAAAGATATACCTATACTTTCGTGTTTCATTGATTCTTCGCTCCTATGAGTCTTCGCGTGATGTTATATAGTTTAAAGCCTTCATTGATAAATTATGTATTCAATACAAAACAATTTTTCTATTCAAACCACTAGTTCCTCATATTAGTGCGTTCCAACATACAAACTCTTCAGCTTTATAATATACCACGTTTTATATTTGATCCTATTGATGGTTCCAGAATCTATACTTAGTTTTTAGTTAACAATGTTACATTACTAATTCTTCGTTAAGTTAATTACTTAATTAGTGTTAAACCTGGAAGCCCTAATTTTGCAACTGTGGAAAATTCGGCGATCGATCTAGAATAATACGTAAGCGTTAGAAGTTTCTGGAAGCGCTGCCAATACTCAATTGTTTTTGAATGCTAAATTGTGAACTAGTGAATTTCCGTACAGTGCTTTAGTTATTTTAGAAATCCCTTCATTGATCGATTGTATAATCAAATGTTACGAAGCAATGTTTTAAATACTCCTGTAGTTTTTAATGGTTTAAAACGCGAAATATTTTCGTTAAACTTGTTTGAAAATGTCTCCCCGTAAGCACGGATGCTGCAAAGCATCCAAACGTCGGGCCATATATCGCGTTTTAAACCGTTAAAGTGTTTTATTTAAAGGCAATGTTTTTATAACTAAAATTACGTGAGTCTAAATTTATTTAAGTAAAAAAGTATTTGGGCGGGAATCGAATGGACAGTCTTACAAGCCTCAATAGCGTCAAGCATCAAAGAACGTTGTCAAATTAAAAAAAATAAATATAATATACACTTATAACCCTTTTTTGTTCAGTTGTCGCATGTAAAAATGTTTATTTCATTAAGTATATACTAAATTATTTTTATTGAGATATTTGTGAAGATTATTGGATGCTTATCCTTCGAACACTCAAAAACACTGCAGCAAATTTCAATGAAGTTTAACGTTAGAAAACTATTTTCTTTATACAGCGACAAAATCTGCTAGTCGAAGGTAGTTTGAGTACTTTTCCATTCCACTGGTATAAATAATTCTATTCTGACATTTCAACGTATTCGCGTATGCTTTAATATTGAAGCTGAATGTATGCTGATTGCCTGTGAAATATAAATTACTCCCGGATCTCGTGCGAATGTGACGCTTTGTACATCGCCATTAGTTTCATATAAACCGAATTATACACTTGACATTACGCGTTAGAACCGTGTGATCTGTGTATCATCTGTACGACAACACGGCTATTTTGGTATTTGATTTGTAGAGACTTTAAATAATATAAAAGTTTAACTTTTTAAACTTATGTTCGGTAATCCACAGATTGAAACAGTGCGCTATTAAACTTAACGGCTTTTTTATCTGTGGTCGGTGCTTCGTTAACGACATTTTGATATTGCTAGCACTCAGATTAGTAAATTATAAAATGATTGCA